GTGTTGTCTGTTTTTTTTTTTTTTGTTGGTCCGATCCATCTCTTCCACACACAACCCCCCCCCCCCCCCCCCCTTTTCCTCTCGTTTGCTGTTCGTCTCTGGATGTGTGGGAGGCTGCGGGGAGAAGATAGAAGCAGTGAGATAGAGTTCAGGGACTCATGCGAAACGGCAGGAGCACCGATGCTTTGGTGCAGGTCGACCTTCGTCACACACTTCAGTGGAGATGACTGTCAGATCTTTCCGACACAGCAGAAGCTTTTTGACTTCATAGACGCACGTGGGGAGGAGCAGCGCGAGGCGCATGATGCGGCACCACCAGCAAAGTGGTTGCCGTTTGGCATCGAGTTTCCCTCAGAGGAGGAGGTGACGCGCGAGTTGGCGTCGCGGGCGCTCCGTGCATCAACGGCAGCGTACCCCACCCCGTGCGGTGGGGGGGATGCTGGTGGCAGACTGTTCCGCAAGCGCGCGTCCAGGAGAAGTGGTGGGGATGCTCGGAAGACGGAGGACACGGCCGAGACTTCATCTGCAGCGAAACGGCGGTGTCGGGCAGTGCTCCGGGAAGACTACGCGGTGCTGTACGGTGCCACGCCGCTTTCCTCGCAGACGCGAATGTTTCTTGCGGTCACCGTCGCTGGTTTAACGCGCGTAATGCGTGAAATTGAGCCACTGCAGCAGCACCTGTACGAATTGATACGCGAGGGATCGCCGTGTCACCTGTACTTTGATGTCGAGCGCGAGAGGGACTACTCTGCGTGGCGCCGCGTTGTAAACCTTGTAGATGCTGATGCCGACGCTGCTGCGGAATGGGGGGTGGCAGATAGTGTCATGGATGAGTGCCGCGGCGCAGCGAAGTACATGGCCGCGTTGTCGACCGCTGTGTGGCTACCACCGCGGTGTTGTGCGTGGAACTGTCGCCTGCGCGCTGACAACGGTCAGACGACGACGGTGCTGCTTGCAGAGCTTCGCAGGTTTCTGTGCAACGCGTACCCTGCATTGATAATCACACCTGACTTGGAGAAGCATCGGGGCTGCGAGGGCGAGGACGGTCGCTCGCGTCCTCCGGAGGAGGACAACACGGCACCCCCGCTAGGGCCTGGTGTGGAGGTGATGATAATGCGCTCTGTGAACGCAGGTGAAACCGAAGGAGGCCAGGCTGGGAAGTTCTCGCAGCACTACGTGGTAAAGATTGAGGGTCAGTGGTTCAACAGTAACGCCGACGTTGGGCGGCTCGTGGGGCAGTTCGTGGACTACTTATACGAGCGGGCGAGGACAGTCCCTCGTGTGCACGTTGCACTCTTCTACCACGACGCGCCGAAGGAGTTTGCCGTCCTACCGCCTGCCGAGCCCTCGCAGCATTTGCCGTTTCTCCCACTTCGGTGTGTTATTGACACCGCCGTGTACAGTCGAAATCGCATGCTGCGCTGCCTTGGGAGTTGCAAGCTACACAAGCGAAGTATCCTCGCGGTGGAGCGGTATGTTTCCGCTAACGGCTCCACTGGAACAGGTACGACGATGGTGGATGCAGTGGCGCTCTTGGACTCCCTTGTGACCCTGCAGGTGGGGCACCGTGATGTCATTTCGATTCTGCCCACAGCCGCCGGCACAGTTGGAGCAGTGATACCAGCTGAGGGCCGCGTGTGCGGCGGTGCGGGGACTGAGTTACTGCGGAATGTCGATATCACGCAGTATGACGCCTTGGCGCGGCACGTTGCACAAGAGTGGAGCGCCGTAGGTGGGGCGCTGTGTCGAGTTAGTAGCGTGCGTCAACGCGGCGAGCGATACCTGCTGCTGCTGCTTGAGGGTTCACGCTACTGCGGCAATGTGAGACGGCAGCACCTCTCGAACAATGTTTACGTCACCGTCGATTTACAGCAGCATGTGTGGGCGCAGAAGTGTTTTGACCCGGATTGTGCCTCGTATAGGTCTGCGCCGCGGGTGATCCCTGCCGCGGTGTTGCCCACAGACAGGCATGACTGGACGAATGAAACACAAACAGCGGCTCTCGCGTCCCACGCCTTGCTGCGGACAACCTTTAAGCCACCATGACGACGAGAGATTGCTGCTTCGGCTTCTCCATCGTGAGGTATTCTGTGTGTTTTATTTCTCTATCTCTTTCACACAAATATATACACACTGTTTGAGTGGAAGCTCTTCGCTCCTACTCCATCGTCTTCACTACTCCTCGCTATCTATTTCTCTGTGTCCGACCAATGGTTGGTTCCGTATAAAATAGAACGTCACGGAGACGGATATCTTATAGCGTCTGGCTGCATGCAACGACTTTCCGAGCGGTGGAGGTTGCTTGTCATGCTGTGGATTGCCGCGTGGCTAGTGGCATGCGGCGTCGCCGCTCAAAGTGGCTTTTTAGGTGATATTCCGGCGGCACCACATGATGCAGCGTACGGTGCGTACTTCCGCAACTACCCAACAGCACGTCCCTGTATTATGACGGCGGCCTTCGCGGCGGTGGGAGAGGACGACAGAAGCAACGAGTCGGTTGCGTATAGCGGCTGCAGAATCGAAGATAGGGCTGTCGTGCCGCATTCTCTTCTTCTTCTTCATGCGGCCGAAGTGGCACTAGCTTCGATGGAAGCTTGTGGGGATAATGTGACGTCGCTGCAGGAGATTCTCCGCGGGCTCCCACTTCCAGACACACTCTCTAGTAGTGGCATTGGACTTGTCTTGTCGACGCGTGACAGCACCAACAACGACAAAAGGAAGAAGAAAAACGGGGCAGCGGATAACACTCCATATGACATGACATGTTTCCTGGTCGCCGTTCAGCGCTACAATGCGCTGGTGAATAATCATACGCATGGTTCAACGCCACTTATCTCGGCGGTTGTTTTTTCTGGCGACAGACGAATTTTCCGCTTCTCCGGTGGTCGTCGCAGCGGTGAGGAACTGCTGCTTCCCCATGAAGTTACGAGTGTGTATGACTTTGTCCTTCTCTACTTTCCCACTACCGGCGGCCGTGGCCCTGTGGATAGTGGGTGGGCGGCGCTCATGGATACAGCCGAGTTTAACCGTATTCATTGGGTCAGGGGCCACACCTACCCACAGAGCGTCTTGGAGACACGCAATGGTATGATGCTCGCGGCCTCCTCCGCCTCACCCGCGCGGGCGCGGAGTTGCTTGGAGGGTCCCTCGCCATCCTGTGCTCCGTTGGGAGGCTGGACTGTGTGGACGAGCACCGCTGACATGCGGTGGGGGTGGAACCCGGCGTCACTGGACTTTGAAAAGAAGACGCGCAAAGGCGCTCTCGCACTGTTGGTCGCCTCCACCGCCGTGTCACTTGTCAAGGGGGAGACTCCTGGTGCGGACTGTCCAGCAAGCGCCGTCGTCGCGACATTGGCGGTGTTGGAGGCGCTGCAGCGCGTGGGTGAGGGTGCCAACCGCGACGTTTACGCTTTCTTTTTTCCCGGCGAGCACGTGGGCGGCGTCGGGAGCGCCCGCTTCATCTCCGACGCGACGCTGCTAGAATGTGCCCGAGCCGGCCTCAGCAACTGTACGGCGCTGGCGTACAAAGACAACCTGAACTTCACCACGGTGGATTTTGGCGCCATTGACACGTTCCTCGTGCTGGATCAGGTGGCCTACCAGGACGCCCCGTTGTATTACCACGTTGACAGCCGTGTGGGGACGGGATCGGCGCAGCAGCAGAAGGCAGAAATGGAACTGAGGAGGCGTGGCGTGCGACGAGCCTCCACCGCGCGACTGCCGTATTCCCCCATCACGACTCTGCTGGATCTCCTTCCTTCGGCAGCGACAGCGGGCGATAAGGTGTTTCTCACACTCACTCGCTACAACACAACGTACGTGAATCCTGATGTTTTTACCGTTCTGGATACGACAACGCAGCGCTCCGCACTCCGGGCGGCATCGGTTGCAGAGGCGGCTGATGTCGTTCTGCGTCTGCTGCTTCCACACACATACTCTGCCGCCGCGCTCTCTCCTACTCCTCCTCCTCCTCCTCCTCCTCCTCCTCCTGAGGCGTCGGTAAATCACAGTCTCGTAGAGCTACTGTGGGGGTGCTTCACAGATAATTTGCACTGCAGCTTTCTTTCCACGTCAGAAGGCGCGGTAGCGGCCGCCACCTCACCTGACTACGGTGTGGGCGTTATGATGGGTGATGGCATCACTAATACTCAGGCAGCTATAGAGGCGGCGCTTCAGTGCATCGGCTGGAACGACGTTGCGCGGTCTCCGGCGGTGCCGATGTCACTGCGCATTCCTCATGGTGACTGGGGTGCGACGTGGGAGCAGGACAAGGCATGGATGCGGCAGCACAACAACTCACGATACGCACTGCACGTGATGAGCCTTTGGCGTGAGGATATCGGTGCCAGAAGCACAATGGTGGAATCTGAGGCTGTGGCTCTGGTATTTTTTTGTCTCGGTATCACTTTTGCTGTCGCTGTCCTTTTAGGCGTTAACCTGTGTGTGAAGAAGTAGGATGCAGGTTTGGCGTTTTGTTGCCCCACGTTTCCCCATGCCGTGGAGGGTCAAGAATGAACTGAGTAGAAAAACTCTCTCTCTCTCTCCCTCTGGAAAGACAGTGGAGACTGTTGGCCGCGGGGTCACTGAAAGAAGAAGCGAGTAGCAGAGCAAAAGGTGGGAAGGAAGAAAAGTAAAAAAAAAATAATAATAATAATGAAATAAAAGTAGAGGAATTGCTAGTTTCTTTGCATGCTGTACATATACATCCATTACCGAGAGAGAGAGAGAGAAAGAGGGTGGGAAGGAGGAGGAGGGAGCGGATGTGATGTATGCGCTGCAATGTACGGTGGTACTTCTTCCTGCATTATTATTTGTGTGTAGCTGAAAGGAAGGAGTCAGTGAGAGTAAAATGGAGGCTACAACAAAGTCTGGGGATACCATCACGCTAGATACGACGCAAGACACTGGCCTTGGCTTTCGCCCGGGAGACATTGTGCACTTTTCGAAGAGCCTGCGTCACGGCAAAGTCGCGCTCATTCGGGGTAAAGCAGATGGACTCTTGTGGTTCTCTGTTTTTCATACTGTAGAGGATGCGGAGGCACCGGCGGCGTTGCGGGCCCCGGTGGATACCGCCAGTTGCCGCACCAAGGAAGAGTTCATACGGAGTTTTGGATGGGTGTTGGATTCGAAGTCAAACTCTGCAGCACAAGGCGAGGGCGCAGCAACTAACTGAAGGGCACACGTAAGTGAGGTGAGAGAGATCTTCTTTTCTTGTTCTGTTTTGTAGGGGTTTGTGGGGTGTTTGCATGGATAGATACGTGCATGCATACGCCAGTCCGGAGTAGCGTGGACCCATTCCGCGGACGGCACGGTGTGCACATAGGTGTAGGTAGAGAAGGAGACGCGGCTCGTCACCAACGGAGGGATGGGGAGGGGGCATGTACCGCATGCAAGGCGCACACCTGTACGAAGGCGTTACTTTTTCTTTTCCGCCTATTTGTCATTCTTACATATATATTTTTGTTCTTTATTGTTTCCTGATTTTGGCGTGGTCTTTCTCTTATGACTGTTGAAAGATAATTTATTTAAAATAATACAGAAGGAGACAAGAGACAGGGGTGGGGTGGGGTGGAAGGAGGGAAAAAGAAGAAAGACATACGGTGGCACACGACTGCGTACGTAACTATATCGGGGGTGGGTGGAGGCGAGCGAGCGGGAGTTTGAGTGAGTGCGAGCCATGCGGAGGAGTCGTGTCGCTCAGTACTACTGGTCTAGGTACCGCATGCCGACACAGATGCCTAGGTTTGATGGTCCCGCCCCCGTTGCTGCGCCGCAGAGCATGAACAGCACCAAGACTAATGAGTTTATTGATCCCATTGACGACAAATTCCCGGTGAGTATCCGCGGTCCTCTGGTGCGGCCGGACGTCCCTGAGGATCAGTACGTGGACAGCTGGTACGTGTGCACTTCAATGACGCACCACCTCGGCGATTACCGACCATGGAGTGCCAGTGCTCCACCCAACGCGTATCGTTTTCGTCCCTACAATGAATTTGACGCCAAGGGTAGGGAGTATGTGCAGTACATGCGGCAGTTTGCCCGCCATGACCCGCAAAAGTCACGTGGAAAGGGGCAAAAGGGGTTCCCCTTTCGTGATGCCTACCTCACAAAAATGAATGAGGCCAATGGTATCACACGGCCCCCCACACTGGAGACCATCATGGACCGTGCAGTGCAGGAGAAACACCAACACACGCACGTTTTAACGCCAATGCAGGTACAACGTGACGTGGGTCGCTCAGAGGCCCCGTTGCCCTGCGCCGGTAACATCCCCGTGGACAGCAGCCGATTCCCGTTTCGTTGGAAGACAGAGGACTGGTACGAATACGAGGTGGCTAAGGTGCGCAATAGACGCTTTGTCTTTGAGAACACGGAGGAGAACGGTATCCACGGCTCCGAAGTGACGTACAAAATTGTTCTAGAGGGATTTTGGGACCATCACGTGATGAAGCTGGCGGATGACGTCTGCATGTTCCTCAGGGATGTGGGTCGTCAAATTACCGAGGAGAAACTTGGTACGGTGCGACATGCCATGGACGGCCTTTCAGGGGGCGCCGTCGATCCGGAGCTGATCGCCATCTTTAACGTTGCCCGCTTGGGCCCATTCGGTCGCCCCGATGAGTACGATGCGGAAGAAGTGGCAGGCTTCATGCGGGCTGACTTGAAACGACTGGAGGAGCAGTGCCTGAGTGTTATCAACCGCTGCAATGTGCCCGTGCCAGGCGCCACAAATATATACGACTCGCAGGTCTCATGGCCGTATGTGGAGAAGCTGGAACCGTGGGTGCGCATGGCGGAGTTCTGGACCTCCGCCTCTGACACCTCCTTTACAGAGCTTGAGATGTCCACCGCACATTACGAATTTAGAAAATACTTTCGTGTCGTTGTCTGCAGGCTGCCATTTCAGAGTGTCGAGTTTGAAAAACGCATGTATGATATAAGGCACTGGCTACACCGACAAACCACGTGTGAGTTTCATACCATTTATAGGAAGAACGTTATTCATGATGGCTCTGTATTTCCGACGGAACACGACCCTGCCACGCCCTCAACACATGAGCACCACCGCATGTTCTCTTTTGCCCTCGATTGGCAAAATGCTCCAGTAAATCGTCTCAGTGTGGCCACGGTACTGGAGGGAGAGGATTGGGGGAGGGCAGCACAGCGCTTCGGCTGCGGCGTGGAAGAACTTAAGAAGGAGAACCCGGCGGTGGAGACCCTTGAGGCAGGTGCTCTCCTTAACCTTCCTGGAAACGCCTCACGTAGGCTGACGAGCTTTGGTGCATCTCCACGTGTGCTCTCGCTGCGGACCGCAAAAGGTGATAAACACATACGCACCTGGGACGAAGCCGCGGCCGCTCTTGATTGTACCGTGGAGGAGCTACAGCAAGTCAACGGCCACGCCGCACTCACCTACAAACAGACTGGCGAGAATGGTGAGGGCGAGTTTGACACCTCCGTCACGGAGCTGAACGTCCCCCTCTCCTGTTGGATGGCAACCCCAGAGGCGGAGTTCAGCCCTATCGAGCTTGTCTTTGCTGGTGACACCCTTGCCACCATTGCGCAGCGCCTGCAATGTAGTGAAGAGGCTCTTCAGAGGGAGAATGCTGGGTTACGTGACGTTACTAACCTACACTACGTGAGGGTACCAACTGAGGCGAAAGCGCCAAGACGACTAGTGGAACCGCAACTCCGCCCACAGGCCGCAACAGATGCGCTGCTAACACGCACTATTGCAGAAGAAACTGCATTTCAAATTAAACATCTTCCCGATCTACCGGCAAACTCGCAGAATTTTCCACACGAGTACCACACCCCGACCTCACGCTTTCCGGCAGCTCCAAAAAAAACGGGGTCAGAGAACGATTGGATGTCCTACACGGCAAAGTACCTTGACAAGCAGTTCACGCACCTAACTGAGCCCACGCCGCTGTACAATGTGAATAAGCTCTGGCCCATGCAGCAGGTCCCTGGCAAGGTGGACCAGACACCCTTCGAGGAGGATCAGACGTGGCTGCTCAATCCTATTCCCGTGCATCAAATGGAACAACACCACCCCGAAAAGGAATTACAGGACCTTCCGTTTGTCAACCACGAACAATTCCCACGCTCGCTGGAGTGGACTGCACCGTGAACGCAAACAAACAAAAATGAAGAGAGCACCTCTTTGTTTACTGCTCGGGACGTCGTCAGCACGTGTGACTTTATCGTGGTGTGTGTGTGAGTGTGTGAGTGTGTCCATTTTGTCGATGCGCATACCTCCACTGCGACCGGAAACGAGGGAGATGGAAATAAAAACAAAAGGGGGAGATGGGACGCCAGGAGCCGCGTCGAATGGCTTGCTCGAGGAGGGCTTCCAGTGGCTTCTGCTGCCGCTGCTGTTGTTGTGTGCGAGTTTCTGGGTTCTTTTGGTTGGAGGTGCAGTTTTCTTCCCTTCTTGCTCCGCCATGTGAGTAAGGAAGTGTGTGCGGCGCAGGCCACATGGCGGCGGAGCTGACTCACATCGTCAGGAAGAGGGAGGGCATCCTCGCTCTGGAGCCCCCACTTCGACCGCCGCGCCGTGATTGCGGTGGCGGGGAGGGAAGTGCACGGCATCCTCAAATTCGACAACAACATCAACCTCGTCGTGGCAAATGTGGAGCTGTGGGACGGAGATGCCTTCGTACGGCGCCTTGG